ATAGTTGGGGGGATTAGTATTTGGTGCATATATATTTATGATTGTCATCTCTTCCTCTTGGATTGTTCCCTTCACAAGGATGTAGTGGCCTTCTTTGTCTCTCTTAATTAGTTTTGGTTTGAAATTTACTTTTGGCAAATAAGATAACTACCCTTGCTTTTTTCCAGGTTCCTATTGCATGGAAAACTGTTTCCATCCTTTTACTTTCAGTCTATGAGTTTCTTTTTGAACTAGGTGCATTTCTTGTATACAGTATATTGTTGGATTTTGCTTCTTAATCCATTCTGCCAATCTGTTTCTTTTGATTGGTGAATTGAGGCCATTAACATCGATGGTTATAACTGATATGTATTGACTTATCATTGTCATGTTATTTTTCTGTTGTTGACTCTTTTTTATTTTTTCCTCCTCTCTCTTTAATTTCTTGTGCTGCCTGATGGATTTGCTCTGTTGGGCCTCATGGAGTTGTGACCTTCACTGTCTTTTTCTAAGATATTTTTTAGAATTGTTTGGAGTGCTGGTTTGGTATTCATGAAGTTTCTCAGGTGTTCTTTGTCATGGAAGTATCTTATTTCTCCATTAATTTTGAAAGACAGTTTTGCAGGATACGTCAGTCTAGGTTGGAGGTTGTTGTTTTCTTTTAGGGTTTGAAATACCTCACTCCAGGCTCTCCTTTACTTGAGAGTTTGTGTTGAAAAGTTTGCTGTGATTCTGATGGGCTTTCCTTTGCATGTGATTTGTTTCTTTTCTCTAACTGCTTGCAGTATTTTGTTCTTCTGTTGGGTTTCCGGAATCTTGGTTATTATATGTCTAGATGTAGATTTTTTTTTTATCATGGCTAGTTGGAGTCCTATATGCCTCACTTATCTGTATGTCAAATTCTTTTGCTCTCTTTGGGAAGTTTTCTGTCATTAATTCTGTGAACAGTTTTTTTATGTTATTAGTACTTTCTCCTGCTTTTTCGTGGACTCCTATCAGTCTTATATTATTCTTTTTTGTGTCATATAGGAGCTGTTGGATTGATTTCTCATGGTCCCTTACTATGTTTGAGATCTCTCTTTTCATGGTCACTGACTGCCATCCTGTCTTCTATATCTGATATCCTATCTTCAGATTGGCTCAGTCTGCTGTGTATACTTTCAATAGAGTTTTTAATCTCCTGGATATGTTTGAATCCGTTTTATGGATTCCATTTCTGTCCTATGCTGGGCATTCATGGCTTCCATCATGGTCCTGAACTCATCTATTTTTTTTTTTAAATCTGATTCTGTTGTGGAGTCTCTAATCATGTCTTTCATTTTGCTCAGCATCTCTGTAGTTATCTGGGAAATTATTTCTGTTTTGAATTTTTCTAGAGCCTCATTCATGTGTTTTGTTACTTCCTGTGCCATCAGTTCAGGGTGTCCAGGTGTTTAAATATCAGACTTTTCCACCTCGTTTTCCCCAGAGTTTGCCTTTGGTGAGCTGGACGTCTGGGAATGTGCCTTGCTTAGATTAGATGTCTTCTCATTTCTATTTTTGTTGTTGGTACTGTCCTTGGTTAAATTCCTGGGTTGATACTTCAGTATTTCTTATTGTAAATATTTTTGTTGCTTGTATTTAGAACCCTTATAGAATGATTGCTTCTCAGAGGTGTTTTCCAGATATAGCTGGTCTGTAGGTTTTGAGTCTCTAATGACTCTGGGGCAATCTCATTTTCATTATACCAGGAAGGATAACTGATTAGATCAATCACAACAGCTTAGCCCAAGTGATACAATTAGCGACAACAATAGTATCAAGCACAGTTTAGAAAATGACAATTTATGGTAGTTATTAATCTATTTCCCCCCACTGCTAGGGACTAACCCAAGGCCTCATGCATGCAAAGCAAACAATCTATCACAGAGCTATGCCCCAAGCCTCCCATATGAACTATTTTTCAGTGTACAATTCAGTGACATTAAATAAATTCAGATTGTTGTTCACCGTCCATCTCCAGAACTTTGCATCTTCTAAAACTGAAACTGTACCCATGAAACAGTAACTCTCCACTCCCCCCCCGCCGCCCCCAGCAACTACCATTTTTCTACACTCTGTCTCTGAATTTGACCACTTTATGTATCTCATACAAGTGGAATTACATGGTATTTATCCTTCTTACTGGCTTATTTAACTTAATATCTTCAAGGTTCACCCATGTTGTAGCATGCATCAGCATTTCCTTCCTGTTTAAGGATGATGTTCCATTACATGTACATAACACACTTAGTTTGTCCATTCATCAAGGGGCACTTGTAACCTTGTATCTCTGATTCTTTGCCACATATGCCTAGAAGTAGAATTGCTAAATCATATGGTAATTTTATTCTATTTCTAATGTTTCAAAAAATATGATCTTGTTCAAAGTGTGCTTTAATAGGTCCTCCAGGTGATGCATGGTGATGCATGCTAAAGTTTAAGAACCACTATCTTGATGTTTTGTCTTCCTTTGCATTAAGATTGACTGAGATCCACATCATGACTGAGATCATAGGAGGGATGAAGTCAAGAGAAAGTGGAGGCAAGCAATGTTCTTTTTTTTTTTTAGTACCGGGCATCGAACTTGGGTCCTTGCGCTTGTGCAGCAGGTGGCGAAACCACTGAGCTAAATCCCCGGCCCAAGCAATATTCTTTTAAGTGATAACAATTTGAGGGGCAGGGATTTAGCTCAGTGGTCCTGGTGCCTGCCTCACAAGTGCAAGGTCCCGAGTTCGATCCCCAGTACCAAAAAAAAAAAGATCTAACAATTTGCCGAACTCACTTCTGCTGATATTCCTTTGGCAAGACTTAATCTCATGATCACACTTCAATGTAAAAGTAACACAGCTAAGTGTATAACTATGGATGAAGCCATAAATGAGTTTGGGGGGGACCATAGTGGGCTGCCACAGGTTTTTTGCTCTTACCTCACCTTTGGGACCACCATCCTCCAAGGAATTTACACAGGAAATCTGGCAGTCATCTCTGACCATTATCCCCCTTTCCCTTCTCACTCAATCATTAAAACTGGTGGGTTCTCTTGAAATTCCCACTAGTACTTCTTTAGATCAGGCTATTACTTTTCTTACTACATTAATATAGGCTTGTGTCTCCATCTGCAACCAAGCTATTCTTCACACTGCAGCCAGAGGTATTCTTCTTAAAGTGCTTTTTTCTAAGCTAAAATCATACGTTTTCTAAAATGCAGATCTAATTATGTTCCCCAAACACATTTATGCCTTCATCCATGACTACTGTTTATGCTCCCTATCACTAGTATTTTTTTTTTTTTTTTGAGATAGGGTCTCACTCTGTAGTTCTTAAACTATGTAGCCCAGGCTGTCCTTGAACTCATGACAATCCTCCTGCCTCAGCCTCTTGAGTGCTGGGATCACAGGCATGCACCACCAAACCTGGCTTCCCTATCTCTAATATTAATCAAATGCTAGATTAATCAAGGTAATGATGTAGAATCTGGTCATGATAACTCCAAATCACACTTTAGTCATAATACTGACTTCAATGGATTTAAATTTGCCTACTAGAATGACCTTAAATAATTTAGGAATAAATTTACCTTCCATAAAGGCCACTCAAAAGTAGAAAAAAGCTCCTAAGGGTGGATGGAGAGTAAGGCTTTGTTTTCTCTTCTTTTTAAACTAACAGTTTAAACACTTTCTAAAACAGTATTTACATAGTCCAAAAGCCACGTGGAGTAGTAATCATACTCCCATATAAGCACAGCAATCTGGTCCTTTTTTTCTATATCTAAAGTGACCAGCACATAGTAGATGCTAATATTTGTTGAATAAGTAAATTCCTCCGGAGTCTTTAAGGACTACACTGTGAACCGAAAATTCAAATTCCTACAAGAGATTGGCAGGTATGTGTGTGAGTAGATAGGGCAGTTAGGACCCATAATGAAAGAAACAGTATAAATCCCACAAGAGTACTTTCCTTAACTAGCTTCCTATAACAATCTCCTTATCATTCTATTATACCTTTACACAATGCCAAGTCAACTTCTTCACTTCAAATATGTCAGTTTTTAGTTCGTTTAGCTGTTGCGTGTAGACTGGACTCCCCAAATTGAAGTCGAATCCCAGAATTGACCTCATAACGACCCTCATCCCAAGAGTAAACATTTTCTTCTCCAGTAGAAAACATTTTCAGTAGTAAACATTTTCTGGCTTCTGTTGCGGAGATTTATTATGAATTCGTTAGCATGATTCTGGTAAGATCTCAGTTTCACAAGCTACTCCCTCACCGCAGGCCAGACTGGGTGGGAGAGCAAACGCGACCCAGGCCATGTCCGGGCACTAAGTCAAAGAATCCCCCAGGTCAGTCCCTGGTGCTCAGGGTCTCTAGGGCACTACTCAGTCACCCTCCCCGCCCTGGACCTGGCGCTGCAATCAAGCCCGAGTTCTGGAAAAGTGTAGATAGCGACGAACGCACCCAGCGTGCCAGACGCGCGTAGGAAACTGATTGTCCCCGTAGGGCCCGGAGAGAGGGGCAGGGCCGAAGTATCTTTCACAGCGCTTGCGCAAAGGCCGGTTTCCAGGGCTCCGGATGAGACCGCGGGGGGATGGGGGGAGACAAACGCCGAGCGCCCGGGCCCACTGTGTGCGCAGGCGCACTCAGCGATCTCTGGTTTAGTGAGCCCTTTGCCTCGGGGGCGGTGCCAGGGGCGGTGCCGGGGGCGGGGCTGGGGCGGTGCCAAGCGGGGAGGAAAAGTCCGCGTTCGGCTCTTCCGCCAAGCCGTCACGGCCGCCGCAGTTCTCTCCAGGTCCTGTGATCTTATCAAGTCATGTTGCCCAACACCGGGTAAGGAGATGGGGGCGAGACGCAGCATAGTGGAGTGCGAGGCTCGGTGGGGTCAGCTCGGCGAAGGGAGGGTCACGGAGCCCGGCGCAGCGCGCTCGGGAACCCTGGCCCGCGCCTGACCTTGTGTGCTGTGGGTCTGCAGTGTCGCGTGGAAAGTAACCTAAAGTTGTGTTAATACTGTAACCAAGAGGGCAAAAGTGTAAAATCCTCATGCACGGGTGACGCGTCAAGTATGAGTTTCCCTGCCGCTCCTATGGTAGCCTGATCGTGGCTCTGGCGGTGGCAGCTCGTGTGGCTGAAGGAGGGCAAATTCTAGGTGAAAGGTCACTGGGGCAGCTGGGGACCTTAGCGATTCCTCTAGTTCTGAACGCTTGGCTGTAGAGCAACAAAATAATTTCAAATTGGTAACAAATTGAAATGTTCTTAAAATATGAGAAAATATGGGTATCTTTGGGGAGGAAGTTTTTTTTCACTTAAAACAGTTTTAAGTGTGGCCAAAGTACACGTAACAAAATATGCTGTCTTAACCGTGATTAAGGTTAGGTAGGAGTGTTAGGTACATCGCTGTGCAGCCAACCCCTGCATCTTTTCACCTTGTAAAACTGAAACTAACCCATGAAACAATGTCTGTCATGTCTCGTCTAACCTCCACTACCCTAGCCACTACCATTCTACTTTTTTTCTCTATAAAGTTGTGTATCCAGGCCGGGCCTGGTGGCTCATGCCTGTAACCCACGCACTCTGGGAGGCGGAGGCAGGTGGATGGCAAGTTCAACTTCAGCCTGGGAAATGTAGGGACTTAGCAAGACATTTACTCAAAAAACAAAAACTAAAAAATGGGCTGGAGATGCAGCTCAGTCCCAAAGTCCTTGGTTCAGCCCTCAGTAAGAGGATGGGGAAGCTTGGGTATCTTGAGCTGAGTTACAAGTCCATTCCATAATTAGCTTGAAGCGTGCAGGCACATAGTTAAAAGATATTTCAAAGGGATATAAAGTAAAAAGTGAGTTTTCTCACCCTTAAAATCCACATCCCCAGTTATTTCCTGGCATGTTTCTCTTCTTTGTACTCATAAGCATATTTTTTATACTGTTTTTTTTTTTTTGGTACCTGGGATCAAACTCGGGTCCTTGTGCTGGCGAGGCAGACGGCAGAACCACTGAGCTAAATCCCCGGCTATAAGCATATTTTGTACACCAGAGACACATATTTTTAAAAATAGCAGCAGATTCCATTTTGACTTTTTTACTTTTACTTGTCTTGAGATAAAGAGTATATACACTTTCAGTACCTGTAAATCTTCCTCTTCATTTTCTAAGTACTGGGAATTGGACACAGTCTTCACACTGAGCTACATCCCCAAACCTTTTAAAAAAGTTTTTATTTTGAGACAGGGTCTCAGAAATCACTGAACTGCCCAGTATAAGCTGGAACCTGTGGTCTTCTTGCTTCAGCCTCCTAGAGTGCTGGAATTACAGGCAGGTATCACCAGGCCCAGACACCTTATTTTTAATTGTTACATAATCTCTGATTACATGGGTATACCATTATTTACCTAACCTGTTCCCTTTTGTGGGATACCAACTCTTCCAGTTTTTTTGTTACTCTGTCTTTGCTTCCATGATTATCCTTGTATTTAACTGTTTGCTCATATGTGAGTATATCTTTAAGCTAAATTCCTGCAATTGAAATTGTTGGATCAAAGAGAATATGCACTTTAAATTTTGATAGCTATATACATAGATATTTCCCTTTAAAAAGGTTGGACACGCAAAAGGATGAATGAGATTTCCTAATCCAAAATGTTGGCAAACATGACATGTTTGGTAACAGGAAATCTAATTAGAGAATAAGTGACTCTTTGTTATACTTAAAATTTGCGTTTGTTTCATCATGAGTGAAGAGGGAGATGTTTTTATAAACCAAAGGCCATTTGACCCCCAAAGGACATTTGGCAATACCTGTATCTGAGAAGAGTATTGTCATAATTGAGGGGAGTTGCTAATGGGATCTAAAGAGTGGAGTCTTAGTTCTTTTTTTGTTGTTTGGTTGGTTTTTTTTTTTTTTTAATACCAGGGATCAAACTCAGGACCTTGCGCTTGCAAAGCAGGCAGTGGAACCACTGAGCTAAATCCCCGACCCAAGAGAGTGGAGTCTTAGATACAGGGAAACATCTTAGCATGGACAAGGATTCCCCTATTATGTAGTCCAAAATGTCAGTAGTCCAGAGGTTAAGAAAACATGGCTTAAAGCTATCTGTATATCTCTTTTTTTTTTTTTTGGTACCGGGGATTGAATTCGGGTCCTTGCGGTTGCAAGGCAGGCAACAGAACTACTGAGCTAAATCCTCAGCCCTGAATATCTTTTTATTTGCCTGGATTAACGAATAAGATTCATGATGGATCTCTGAGAACTTGTGTATTTTAAAAATTTGTTCTTAATAGTGCTGCTGCCTGCCTCACAAGCGCAAGGTCCTAAGTTTGATCCCAATACCAAAAATTAAAAAAAAAATTTTAATACTGTATCTGGGAAAGCTAGTTTCTGCCTCATTTGTATTATTATTATTATTTTTATTATTACTATATTGGTACTGGGGATTGAACTCAGGACCTTGCAGTTTCAAGGCAGACACAGTGCCATTGAGCTAAATCCCTGGCCCTATTTGTATTATTTTTCAAAAAATTTCTGATTATTCTTGGGTATTTTTTCACATGAACTTTAGCATAGTTTGTATAGGTTTTTTTAAAACAATGTTTTCTTTTTAAAAATGGTTAAAAATTGCATCGTATTTTCTCTGATTTTGAAGTATCAGAGAAATTTAGTAAATTGAACTTTAGGTTTTCACTACATTTGCAAGTATTCGTCATCTAACAGTGATATTGAGAACTTTGGACTCTTCCTCTGAGGGGCCTGTGTCATTGCAAACTGGTTCTGCTGCTCAGTAACACATGTCTGCCTTTGCCACTCTTGCTGCCAGTAACTGAGAGGATACCCTTTGCCCTACTGGGAATCACTTCAGCTGTATCACAAGCAAAAGGTTAGAACTTTTTAAAACAATAATTGGGATATTTTCATGTGAGTACTTTCATTAAACATCACTTTAATATCTCTGTATACTACTTTTTAAATATAGAAAAGAGAAAATCACACATATAGAATGTATTTTATATATATGTATATGTTTGCATGTTTTTGAAAAAATAAATTCCAAAAGGATAAAGCAAAACTTAATGAAGCAAGTTACCTACAAATTAGATGCTAAGTGTCTCTGAGTCTACATTATTATAAGGTTTTGACTTTTAAACCATATACATTTTATAATATCCCTTACTAAAGATGAGGGGACAAAAAATTAAAATTGAATGGTAACAAAATAAACTTAATTACATATTAAATCTATGACAGAAACATACAGAGAAAGAGAAGTAGTTCAAGTAATTTGGGGGGGAAGGGGTATTACTGTGGATTGAACTCAGGCCCTTTGTATTGACTAATTCAAGGCATTAGTCTAGCCCTTTTCTTGTATTTTTTTATTTTGAGGCAGGGTTTCGCTAAATTGCCCATGCTGGGTTTGAACTTGTGTCTTCTTGCCTTAGCCCCCCCAAGAATGCTGGGATTACAGGCATGTGCCTCCAAGCCCAGCTTCTAGTAATTTTTATCATGCGATTTGTCTGTACATCTTCAGAGGGATTTGACTGACTTTTATGAGAGATCCCAGAGAATTTTTATATTCTCTAATCTGGCCTACGGAGCCCTCCTCCTTTTTCTTCCAAAGAGCCATATCTCTGTTAGCATCCTATCCTATCCTTGTTAGCAAAACTGTCAAGGTCTGGGATTTCTGTTTATCAGGTATTTAACCTAGACTTTTTATTATGGTGTTATTAAATCAAAGTGAGCTTGCATACTAACCGAATTGCTCTCCCACCAGCCTAAACCTCCAGCCTCTTAACATAGAAATTTTATCATGTGTGTATAACTTACCAATATCTAAAGTTAATAGAATTTGCCATTCTTCCAAATAATTCAAGGATAAGGAGTTAAACTACTTAAACATTAGAGTTTATATTGTAATAATATATTTCAAATTTTAATCTTTTTTTTTACTCCAGAAGCATTATTTTACTATTAGTATACCTTTTTTAAAGATTCTTGTACTTATCAGTATCTTTGGTTTTCATATCTTCTTGCATCTCGGACCTTTCAACCATCAATACTTTCCTTCTGACTGAAGTAAATTATACATAAAAATATAGATTGTAATGAAATAAAAATATATTATTATTTCTAGGTCTCATTATACAGAAATGAAAAATTATTTTTTCATTTAATAAAATTATTAAATTTTATTTAATTAAATTTCACTTAATTAAATTATAAAAATTAAAAGTTTGTTCGAAGATGTAAAAGTTAGTGAAGGAAAATAAGTTTTTACACATGAGCAAAACTCTGCAAGAAATATAAAAATATGTAGAAATATAGTACATAGCAATAAAAGTGTGTTTAAAATTCTGAATATGGGCTCTATTACAGGACAATCTATAACTTTCATCAAGTAAGTGGCATAAAGAATGGAAAGGGAACTGGTGCAGGTTAAAGGGATTTACAAAGTTTAACAAATTCAACACAAGATCCTTATTGGATTCTTTTTTTTTTTTTTTTGTACCAGGGATTGAACTCCGGACCTTGCACTTGCGAGGCAGGTGGCGGAACCACCGAGCTAAATCCCTGGCCCATTATTGCATTCTCATTATATCAGTCCAACTATAAAAAGACATTATTGAAAATGTTATGAAAATTTAAACATGGTTATACATTGGATGCTATTGAGGAATTATTTTCTTAGATATAATGACATCATGTAAACATTTTTTATCTGTTAAACAATACGGCACTGAAGTATTCATAGATGAAATGTGACCATTGAGATTTGCTTTCTGATAATTACTTTCAAAAATTTGGTAATTGTTGGGCCGGGGATTTAGCTCAGTGGTTCCGCCGCCTGC